AAGTAAGCATTCTGCATTGGATTGGGGACTGGAAAGGTAGCTTGGAAAATCCTGCAGTTCCCTGCAACCACGAATGCCTTTTCTTCTGTTGCTGTGAAATCACCAGTAGAGATGTCCTGATTTTGTGTGCACATGACATCAACTTTCACAGGAGCAGAAGCTTTTCACCTAGTGCTGTTTGCTTATTCCTGAGTACTACGTTATTACTCCCTGTAACCACTGCCTAATGGCTTGTGCCAATTCCACGTTATAGACGGTGCCTTGGGTTTGTAATGGTGCCAGTGTTTCCAGTGGGGTTTTTTAAAGTTCAGTTGATCTCAACATGCCACTTCAGGTTCAGCTAATGTTACCAGGTATATGTCATTTCTTTCAATAGGCAAATAAAGGAACGTGTTGGTAATGCGCTAGTTCTCACGCTCTCTCTGTAAACATTCAGACTGCCAGGAACAAAGTGTTCGTTAGAACTGCCAAATTTAGCAAATTGTTTGTAGGTAGGTTAACGTTGAAAAGCCCACAGGCACCACAGCTTGGAGTGGTATGGCAGCTGGAGGGATCCGGATGCGGGGTTTTGACACCCAGTTAAACTTTATTCTGTAATTATTTTAAGTTCCTTAGTTCAAATGGGTTTTAATTCAGCTATTATAAAAGTTACAAATACCTCAAAGTGTTAACTTTGATTTCAAACTGGTCCTCTTAGTGCACATATGTGCATCATCATCTTTGCTTTGGTGGTTGTGGGTTCATAAGGAGAATTAAGGTCATTTCAGTGTATTAATAAGTAGTTTTTACACTTGAAAGTGCAAATACGTTGAGAAAGGACATTATTAATAAGTGTGTGTACACATAGAAACATGGTTGTTTCAGGGTTGTTCCTGGGTGATTACGCTAACGACTCTAAAGGGGGGGGGGTTATTGTTTTAATAGAGGCCTGAACATTTTCCACTAAATGTCTGACCATTTGATAAGCTGCTCACTACTCTTGAGTACATTAAATGTACACTTTTGATAAAACCTTTGAGTTTTCTCAATGCAAGAAACTTGCTGGTGTTTAAGCTAGCTGTGGTTGTTCTTCAGATAACTACGAGATCTTTCTATGGTCATATTAAAAACATCACTGCAGTGACCAGCATTTGTAGAGCAGTATATATAAATCCACCTTCCTCCAGTTCACCCCTACAGCTTTGTGTCATCAGCACTGTGTGATCCACTGCAGGCAGGTTTGAATCCAGGGAAGCACGGCAGCGTTTTATAAAGTGAGCTTATAAAATTGCTCAACTGCCTTTAGCCCAGCTTTTTTTAGGTTGTGCTGCTGAAAGTGTCACTTTGCAATTGCTTGTTCCTCCATTGTTCTCAACATCCATATCTGTGTTCTTACAGATTCGCGCTGTTAGACCTCAAGTTTTGATGAGGCTCTCCAAGACCAAGAAGCACGTTAGCAGGGCCTACGGAGGATCCATGTGCGCCAAGTGTGTGCGTGACAGGTAAAAGATGCACTTCCCTTCATCTTCTGATGCTTGTTACTGAGAAAATAGATTGATACAGGCATCAAACTTTAATTTGAAAGCACTAAAATACAAACTTGTTAGGTATGCTGTGATCAGCTAATTCATTATGTTAATTGATCTCCTTTGTTTTTTATTATTAGGATCAAGCGTGCTTTCCTGATTGAGGAGCAGAAGATCGTTGTCAAGGTGCTCAAGGCACAGGCACAGAGCCAGAAGTCAAAGTAAACTGTGTATTTGTATTGCCACAATAAAAAATGTCAAACAAATCCACTACATGTTGTGAGTCGCAGCATTTTTTTTTTCTTTTATTGAAATTGCTGAACAGTCTGTGTGTTTGGGGTCTATTTCAAAGATTTGTTTTTTTTCCTCTCTGGTCTTGTGCCAGGTCCCTGGTTAAAGGGGGACCTCACACATGCAGAGCCTTCTGTTGTGTTGATCCCTCAGGATTAAGGAAGCAACTGGAAAT